AGGAGGAGGACGAGGAGGCGGCGGAGGCGGAGGCGGAGGCGGAGGCGGAGGCGGAGGCGGAGGCGGAGGAAGAACAGCTGTGATAAAATCTAACAACCCTCACCTGGCAGGTGGGGAAGAAGAAGAAGAAGTGGAGGTCCAAGACCAAGACCTCGGGTTTTTAGAGAAATTCTGTTGGCCCATTGACCATCCGATGTTCCTATGAAAGGGAGACGGGACACTTCCACTCTTGCCAACCCTCCAACAAAAGGGACTGGCGGCCCACATTCTTTTGATTCTTGAGCCGCACCCCAACACAACGGGTGATGTTTTATCTCTCAGCCTCTTGCGAGCTCACGACATGCTTGCTGTTTGAAAGCAGCGTGAGCAGTGCTCACGACGCGCCGCGCGCACGTCCAAAACTCATGACAGTAAACGAAAAAAACAAACTCCTGCACCGTGAAGAAGCTCTTCTGAAAAATGTCGAAGTCAGACATATCGGACCTCTCTGGAGGCTCCAGTTCGCGAAGAGGTCGACGCGCACGAAGAGGTCAACGACCTCCCTGGATGTTCAACTTCATACACCACCAGGGGCCCCTCAAACCATCAAAGACCTGGTTCTCCCTGGCAAAAAACATGGTGTTTCCATGTGAAGACCTCTTCTTCACGTTTTTTTGGGGAGCTGGCGGGACTGAGACGAACATGGGGTCTTACGAAGAGGCGGAGAGGCTCAAAACCTGGCAAAAGACGCGACCCTGGACCCTCCTAAGTAGGGGCCGGACCCGAATCCTCTGGAGGGGTCCGGACCCGAACCAATCCCTATAGGGTTTTGAGGGACCAGTCGGGCTGTTTGGAGCGTCAGGGTAGAACCATTCACCGGGTATTCCATCTTCGGTCGAAACCTCGTGGAAATTTTGTCAGGTGATACCAAGACAGAACATGAGGTCGTTCATCACCAGGTTTCACTTGTTCCTTGAACCGGAAATGATAACCCTGGAAAGGTAACAAGGACGCTACTAGTGACAAAGGGCATCGCTACTAGTAACAAAGAGCATCGCTAGTAACAAGGACGCTACTACTTAGGGGCTCCTGGCCGTGTTTCTCCAACTTCTCTAGGAGCAAGAAGCTACGAACGGAGCAAAGGGCATCGCTACTTACGGAGCGATCGGACTGACCTAGGGAAAACGGAGCACGGAGCGATCGGACGCGTCGCATCTGATCAACTAAAGTGCCTTGTTCAGTCAAAACGGTTTTCGGCCCCCTGAGGCTCCAGGCGCATGGACCGGGCTCTTCTCTGGCCCTTTGACTTTGCGCATCTGGCGGTCAAAGTACGAAGTCACCCGCACGAAGTCAGCAAGGCTTTCTCGAGCGAAAGGCCCAAAAGGGAACCTTTTGGAGCCATCATCGTGAGTTCACTGAGTTTACTCAGTTTACTCTTTAAATTGGAAAGCCGGACAAACCATCGTTGGAGAGGTTGCCTTTGAACATGGGTGGCGTGCAGAGACAAGACAGTTATGGTCTGTTGAGACATGGCTGGCGTCCAGGCAAGGTTCCACAGCCCGGAAAATCGTCTCAAGTAGATGAACTTCTGGGATTTGATTTGCCCTGGAAAAATAATCCCCAGAAGTAGATTTACCCATGGCCCATGGGGAAAAATAGAAACATCGACTGATCCCCAAATCTGCAGTCCCCAGGACTTGCTTTGCCCATACTCCATCGGATCACGTGGGGGACATCGTCGGACATCGTGAGACCAGCTGAGCTGCGGCCGGTGAAGCAACCCTGTTGACAGCGCCACGGTTGACCGTGCCTTCCGTGAGCTACGGTTCCCTCATGCCCCAAGCTTTTGGTGATCCTACCAGGTAGGTATACATATGGTCACATCAAAGCCAAAGCCAACCACCCAGTTTCGACAGCAACCCAGGGGGGGCAATCCTTCTCGCCCAGTTTCCAGCGAGGGCGTCAGACGGAAGTCTCCACCGACGGGTTGACGGACTCCCGAGAGGCAGAATGGAAGAAGCGACATGGGAAAGGCGGCTGGCCTGGTTCCTTCCAACAGGCTGGCCTGTTTTCCAAGAAAAAACAAGAAGGTGAGCGCTCAGAAGCTTCTGGGCACCTGTGATCAAGAAAAATCCACCGATCTTGGAAGCTGGTCTAGTAAAGACCTCTTAAAACACTTCTTTGGGTCCAGGAAAAGCTTCCGATCGACTAAGGCCCACCGCACGCGCAGCACGCGCAGCACGCGCACCTTTTCTTCGAACAGAACCTTTGTCACCGACTTGGCAAAGGTCTTCTTCTGTGGCTTCCTGGACACGACGACAGCAGAGTTCGGCGGCTTTCAGCCAGTTCTGTTGACGCATCATTCTGAGTGGACGGCTTGGCCACAGGCATAAAGATCCGTTCGACCTGGCCCATCGCAGCTTCTGCTTTTCGAGACGTGTCTGGACCGGCCAAGCTGCACCCTAGCAGTCGAACTACCATTGTTTTACTAAGTGGTTTGACACCACAAAACCAGATCAACCGTTTTAAAAATTGGTCTTTGACTTCCAGGGTGCAGTTCAAACTCTTGCGAACTTCCTACTCCTGCTAAGTCGCCGCGTCGACGAATACGTAAGACCAGGTGCTGAAGCAACTCCACCTTCCTCGCCTTCCCTCCCACCTGGGGTCCAACGAGGAGGCTTCCCCCGCGCTTGCGCCCGGACCGGCGTCTTGAGACGCGCCTCCATCCACTCTTCGTCATGGATGCGAAGGCCGAGCGCCTGGACACAGGAGTGGTGATTGGATGGGAAATACATCCATCATCATCCATCAGGACCTCAGGAATTGTCCACCCGAACTCCCAGGCCCCTGGTGCTGGTGGATTGATATTTTCTTTAGTCCCCACGTCTATATGTAAAGGATCTCAAGCCAGGTTCGTTCCGAACTGTTTCTGCTTGGGGGGTTGGTACAAGTACCATCTGATGTTCATCCATTTTTCACACCCGAAAATTGGACATCTGCAGACAAACGGATCTCCACAGTTCCTAACCAGGCTCCTAGATGTCTCACGCCAGCTTGCATACCAGCACCCGCAGGTGACCACCTGCGACTTGGTCTGCATTTCCGCTAAAGAAACGGAGAGAGACCTGTAGAATCGGGTGTTGCTAGTAGATCTCACTTCCTCATTTTCACCCTGAACTTCTTGCCACACCGACGAACACCGCCGGTGTTCGCTGCGGGAACGACGACGCCTTCACGTCGGTCCACGAGTTCGGTGACGCGAACGGGCCGACGGACCACCGTCGGTTGGATTGGAGCCGGGGAGGTGTTTCACCCCAACTGACCTGCAACTATAGTCCACTGTTCCTGGGCCAGTAGTATAGATGACGGTCAGAGTATTTGTCCAGCCCGAGATGCGGTGACGCTGACTGCAGGGACCTAGCGGCTGAAAACGATGATTGACTGCAGGGACAGGTCTTGTCTCAGTCGGTCCTGCACCACGGCGGTTCTCTCAGGGGGGGTTTATCTTCATTGCTTCATGACTTGCACTCGAAACCCGTGTTTTGGCACTCGAAACCCATGAAGCTCCAAAAGCCCAGCCCTCTCACCTGCACTTCGAAAGCTCGCACCTCTAAACAAGGCCTGAGCTGCTGCATGTCATAGACACCATTCCTCAGTCTCAGTCGTGAGAGCAATATACTGGAGGATGAGGAAGCAACTTCAGCTTGATCGGAGTCAAACATGGTTGTTTGGGGCTCTTCCAGCCATTGATTGACCACCATTCACCATCATGGACCACCTGCAGAAGATTCGCAGAATCCCGACACCACCCTATAGAATGGAACCTCTGATTGATTCAGTTCACAAGACCGTGGTACTTGTGCCTCAACAACTCCGTCCGGACCAGAAACAGTTCTGGTTGCTCCTTCCTATGGCACCAGCTTGAGATCCTTGACATAGGAAGTGACTGGGACTGGGGAGCTCCATCCAGAACTGTTTCTGCTCCATCCACGAGGTTTCCAGGGGCGGTCGTGGGACCTGTGCGGTTGAGACTCGCAGCAGTCCGATGTTGACCACTTGCCACAACGAGATTCGCTGTCCAAGTTGTCCAACTGAATCCAATCCGAAAGATGGCGTAGACGTATAGACGTATAGACGTATTATCCTAAAGAGATCGGCGCAACCATCTCCGAAACAACGCACACCAAGCATATATTCCAACCAGGTCCCTTCTTCCAGTGGGTCGTTGCCTGCGAGGTCTTCCCATTTTAATACACACCCAAGTGGCTGTTAAGCGTTATCAAATAACTTGACCCCTTCTCAGATCCTTCGACTAGACTTCACCTGCCTTCACGTTCGTCATATAACCATGGACAGGTTTGAGGGGTTCGAGGTGCGAGACAGGGTGGCAGGACCGCCGTGTCGGTTCGAACCAGTGGGTCGAACGCCGGATCAAGAGCTCTCGGACGGTGTCGACGAATCCAACCGCCTGAAGGGGCTTTTGAAGGGGTATCTAAAACCTCCAACCCATCGAAAAAAGAGCTCGAAAGATCAAGAGTCTCCATTGCAGGACCCTGGAGTTTCAACACCTTCAAAAAAACGGAGGTCCTAAAGTGGCACACCGAAACACCGTGACACACCGCGGCACGGGCGCAGTCGCTCGGCCGCCGCAGTCACGGCGCAGGAACTTTGTCTCCGCGGCGCAGCTCGGCTCTCCGCGAAACCGTCGACGGCCCAAAGCATGTCCGCCGCATGCTTCGCTTTGATCCGCGTCCCGGGATGGATCCCAAGAACTAAACGTCAGCAGTGAACTGCCCAGCGTTTCAGATGTGACTTGTGAAGAGCTTGGTTGAACGGTTGAACTGAATCAGTTCTGTGTAGAAAATGCTCTTGGCAAGTCAGATTTTTTCTCCAAATGAAGGACTCAATCCTCTGGACACATCTTGTCTTGAACAGTTTTGACTCTTAGAGTACCCCTCCTGATCAGGAAAGGTCCCCCCCATGCAGGATTCTAGAGGATCTTTACGTTCCCAGAGGTTCCACGGTCTACCCCTCCCGGTTCCGCGCTCCGTCGTCTCGTCGTGAAACAACGGGTCGCGACTCTCGCCCAACCGGCGTTCTTTGGACGCTGGGCTGAGTGGTTCCCTTCAGAGATGCACACCTTCTCTGATGCCCACAAGACCTCATTGAGAGCGGTTGAGAGATGGGAGACCGCTCTAAGGGCATCGTGAAGCGAACGGAACCAAGGGCATCGCGTAGCGGCATGAACGGAGCAAAAGGACGCTACTAAGGGGCGCTCCTGGCCTTACTACTAGGAACAAGGACGCTACTAGGAGCAAGGGCAATGAGGGGTGGGTGCCATGATGTCCTTTTGGGAACAATGGAGAGGTAACTGTTGGTTGTCGTACACGACTGGAGGTATCCCCTCTGTTCAACCAACCATTAAACGGGTGGGTTGGGAATCGTTCTTCCGCCGATCCCCAAAGAATTGGGAGGTTTTTGGGGCCTCAGGAACTTTGCAGGCTTTTGGAGGCTTTTGGCCCGACAACTCCAATCAAAATGTTTTAAAAAGAACACTGACCCGTTGGTGAACGATTCCTCGAATCATCCACGAAACCTTGTAAGCATTCTTGCCTTGCTGGGATCCAACTAATTACTAGGCCCCAGGCAAAGCGGTTGTGGCGCTGCTTGGACCAGACGTTGTCAGGGCCAAATCTTAGAGAAAATACATGAAAATACAGGGGTAGGTTACAGTACAGTGGAGATTCCTCGAAAAGGAGTTCCGAGGGTATCACCGAAAACCGAAATCCATCTCAATAACATGAATAAGGCAGATTGCCGTACGCATATGGTGTCCAAAAACCAAGCGCACAGTCGCGCACGGTTCTAGGGTACAACCTTCGGTTCGCTGAAGTGGGTGGGGTCGAATTGGAACATGTAGTTTCCGGTCCCCGGTTCGCCACTCCTTCGCATCGAAACGCGGTCCATCTGAGCACCTTTACTGGGTCGCGGTTCCACGCTCGGTGCTGCGCGCGACACGGAGACCTGGCGAGGTGAGGCGGGGTGCGGGGCGGAAGGTGGTGACCTGAAGGTTCAGCTGACGACTTCGGTGGTGTCAGCTGAACCTTGTGCTGAGCATCCAGCATCCGGTATGTAGTGCAACCCAAAACCTTTCCTTTGCAACACAACAGTAGGTAGCAACTTATCTGAGTGAACATATTGCACTACAGCCTATGTGCAGTGGGCTTTCTTAAGCGCTCCCAAACCGCCTCCGAATCGCCAGATGCAGCAAGTAACGCTAGAGAGCAGGAGCTGGAGAGCAAACACCAGAGCATGCAGGAACTACAAGTAGGGGGCAGGAGTTGGGGAGCTGGTAGACAGAAAGCACATCCCAACCGCAAGAATGACGTCGCCAATGCAAAAGCGAGTTGCTAGGTATGCCCAAATACCTGCACTTTGTTGCTGCGTAGTGGTTTGCACTGGAGACAGAAAGCACGTCAGAAGTGCAAAGGCTGTTGCTGACACAGAAGCCTGTTGCTAGATGAACGCAGATACCTGCTCCCTTGTTGCGTGCGAACGTTGTCCTCTCCCCGGCAACCAAGAGAGAAAGCACAGCACTTCCGTGCACACTATTGTCGACACGACTGCTCCTGTGCATAGTTCAGCTATGAGTACGCACCGGTCCGGTTACTTTGGAATGCACAGAGCATGTTCTGTACTGTGCACAAAGAACGCTCTGCACTGCGGGCACAGTTGGCGCGGAACTTCTGGCAGGGACACGAGTAGTGGTGTCCTGCCAACGCTAAGTGATCACACAAAAATGGCGCGAAGTTGAGACCGACGGCGGAGTCAGCCTCCCTAACGTGTGAACGTGAGACGACAGCCATTTCCCTTCGGAGTAGACGATGGAGCTCCGCTGCCGAACAATGGCCAGTGGGCGCTCACAGAGCTCTTGCCAGGGGCACAGCAGCTCAACATGGGCGTGAACCCATGGCTCTTGCGGCGGCAGGTAGTGGCTCCGTGGGCGTTTTCGGGAAAGGGTGGTGCAGTTCTCTTGACTCAGATGACGTGTTTTAGTTGACTAGGATGGGCTCTTGCAAGCAGGCTGATGGCAAAGCTGGCTCTTGGCTCTGTGCCTCAAAGATCCTCAAAGCACCTATCTGTTGGAAAGTCTAAACAAAACAGCGCCTGACAGCACCAGGGTTCGGAATTCCGACTGTCAGGCACCTTCAGGCCAACTGTGGACCACTCCCGGAGATTGAACCCCAACTGCATTCTGCTGGGACGGGAAGTTCAGCTCGACTCGCAGACGTTCTGCACCAGGAAGGATTGGACACCTGCACGTCTGAGACCTGTGGTCGTGGGTCCAAATCAACAAGAGACCTGTGGGCCTGTGGGCCTGGGAAGATGGTGCGAAACCTCAATATGTCTGTTTTGCATTTCAGCAAGTGTTGTCAGGCTCAATACTCTTCCAAATGATGCTTCAACAAATATATCCTTCACCATCCTTCACCTACTACCTAGCACTTCCTGTCCGGGTGCCCTGGAGTAGGAGACCTCTGTACGTAGGCTTGTCCAGCCAGGTGACCCGTTTTCGTCGCAGGTCCATGAACGGACCGAGCCAGTTATCTTCGCCGGGCTGACTTCGCCTGTTGGATTGGAGTGGGGAACCAAGAATTTCCCCGAGCCAGTTCTCCTTGTGAAAAAGGAGACTCACCTGCAAAGTCGTCCACTTGTCCTGGGGTGAGGGTGAAGATGCTGACACAGGAGCTGACACCTGGTGTCAGCCGGAATGGCCTTGCGAAGGAAGATGGTGGCGGATCAACGGGCGAAAGAATTCGGACAAAAACATGGCGTCACCTGCAATGGTTGTGAGCCAAATCTCCAGGAACTTCCATGTGAAGGTGACTAACAATGGGGAAACTGGAACATTCTTGCAGTCTTTGAATCTCTTTGCAAGTCTTTGGGCAGGTGTTTTGATGTGTTTCCAACGTTGTGATCTCATCCAATGACGTCTTCACCCAAATGTTCTTATCCGATGGCTCCCCCTCACGCAAAGCCTTCGCGTGTCCAGCTCCACCTGACGCTCCACTCCGCTCCACTCCACCTTTCTCCTCCGCATCCCGCGTCGCGTCGCCACTTTCTCTCCGTTGGGACGCACCACGGACCGATTGCGAGACAGACCGATCTGTGACGCATCGCAACGATCTGTACACTGTACAAGAGTGCGGCGATCCTTGGTAACCCACCCCACGCACCACCGTCGACTCCGTTCCGCCGACAAGCTGTGACAAGCGGTGAAAAGATGTAGAAAGGCATCCTGCGGAAAAGGAATGGAGATGTGGAAGATGTTGGAACACAAGCTATGAGTTATGACATGTTCTGACTCATTTATGTTTAATTCTTTCATGGCATAAACCTCCAGGGGCCCCAGAAACCATCAAAGACTTGGTGTTCCCTAGCAAAAAAAGCAGGTCTTTTTGGTACGTAGAGAAATGGGACACTGAGGGCCACTGGCTTCATCTCCAACTTCTCTCTACTCCAGACATCGTCCGGAGCGGCGCTCGTCCACACCGGACAGCCGGTCCCGCAGACAGGCCGGAGGATGGACCCGCGTCTCGAGTGCACGCAGGAGCTGCCCATCATCCACCTGGGCGGATGAACGTCTGCGTCGAACCCCTCCGTTTCCCTCGAACAAAGGTCGACTCCGGGCCATCCGAAGAGAAACTGAGAGAAATCGAAACATGTGAAAGTGGTTCTGTCGTTTCTTGTGTCCTTGCCGTCCGGACGATGTGATGTGCATGTGATGCGTGGTCTTGTTTTTGTCCAAATCCGTCAGGTCCTGAAGCGCTCCGGCGTCTGGAGGTGTTCCTCCTTGCATCCGACCCATTCCTTCGAAGCATTGGGGTTATGATACGTCAGACAGGAGTGGATCACCGAAGGGACGGGGACCTCTTGGAGATGAGTCAATGAGGGCCGACCCAGTTGACCACCCAAAGCAACCAGAGCAACCAAAGGGCCGACTGGCACTGCCCGGGCATGGCGTATATGGGAAGGTTCGAACATCCAATCCATCTGGAAGCAAAACCAAGAGCTGGAAACCGAGCCAACAACGCAAGGCCAATAGAAGTCTGAGAGGAATCCAAGAACAAGGAAAAATAGAACAATCGTGACATGAGGCTGTTTCAACATCTGTGGATCTCATTGAAAAAGTTTTTCAGAGGCTGATCTCCTGTGACAGGCAAGGATCAAAGCCTCAAACAGGATGCAGCTTTGAAGGGCATGAGAGGTGTTTCAAGAAAAGTATTATAGGAATGTTTCAAGACATATTGAGAGACTATCAAATGAATCGTTCAATCGTTCTTCCCCCAAGGAAAGGATTTGGGAGGGATTGATCACCAAAACAGCGGCATGTCTGTTCCCCCCCTGTCCATCAAGATGACAATGACTATTAAATAAGTCTGGTAAGGTTGGGAAGTCCAATTTCTTCGACCAACGATGTGTTGAAGTATACCATCCGTATATCCCTCCATCCAACAAACATGGAAGTGGAACCTGAGATATGTTCGAGATGATCTGTTCACAGGGGCCCCAAAATAGAGTATGTACAATAGACTATACAATGTGCATGATTAGGACAAGACTTACAGATGAAAATGATTGGTTGGAGACACAAGATCTCCCTGCTGCGGCTGCCTGCCAAGTCACGTATTTCTGTGGCTCGTCGCCTGGCCTTTGCCACGTCGCCGTGATCGGCCATTGGCTGCTTCGGTGAAACGTGCACACCTCAAACCAGCCGAGTCCCGTGCAGTCCCATGGAAGTCCAGTCATTGAACATGGTTGACCTGGTGACGTAGTGTAAAACCCCTATAGTAACACATATAGGGAAGGGTTTGGTTCGGCTCCAAACCCCTGCTATGGAGAGCCCAAACAATTCAATCCCTAGGGATCCGTTTTCGTACCGTACGGTACGGTGTTCGAGGGTCTATTAGCCGGTGCCAGGAGGGTCCGTACCGAACCTGAGAAGGACTGGATCCGGGGGTCCTGGTTCTTCCCGAGTCGATCAAATCCGCTTCGAATCGGCGAGACACCTTGATCGTGCCATCACCCAGAACGACTGCTGGCGGAGCGAATCGCATGACTCTTGATATGAAGAACCCCCCTCCCCGGGCTGGATTGAAAAACCTAGGGGTTATTCATCAAGAGTCTCATGTAGACTCTTGATTAATATAATGGAATAAATATGAATAAACCATGGAAAGGTTGTTTTACTACATTAAGTACATGACGAGGGACTTTCAAACACGTTTTCTCAGGGTCCCAACCCAAACGAGAGGATTCCGCCGGGAAGGCCCAGTACAGCAAAAGGTGTGGCCGTTCGAGGGAAGTGCCATGCATGGTTAAGGATTTTACACCAAAAAAACGGCTCCACCGAACTCTTTCATGGTCTTCTCGGTCTCAGACCAACTGTACATCGATTCAGATGGGGAGTTCAACAGGCTCGTTGGACTGGCGTCCGAACCGCGTGTGTTTTGAGAAGGGACGCTGTTGATCTCATGCATCATTTCCGAGAGGTGTGAGACATCTCGGGAAGAGTTATTGATCAAGAGTTAAGATCTCCCCACAAACCATCAAAGACCTGGTTTCCCCTTGAAAAGACATGGTGGTTTGTATGTGAAAACCCTCAAAATTGTTGATAATTGTTGTAATTTTTGATGGGAAACTGAGGGTCACTGGTAAGGGGTAGCAAGCAAATGGATCCTTCAAGCTGGGATCATCTCGAACAACGCATGAGGCTGTTGGTTGTGGGCTTGTTTTGGCGTTCCTTTGCTGGGCTCCGGACCAGCTCAGAGTGCTGTTCTAGGGCAGCCAAGTGCTCGTGAGAGAAGATCAGCTCCCATTCAGCCTATCAAAGCGATTTCCCACCCATGCCGAGGAGCTCCGGTGGTCCAGGCGGAGGACGGGTCTTATAGAACTATCGAACCACCAAAAATGAAGGGTTGTGTTGGTATAGTTGTATATACTGTCTCACCCGCTGTGTCTAC